CCGCTACATGAAACGGTTGCGATTCCTAGAGATCAGCGACGCTCCCTCCCTAACGAACGCGGGGTTGGATTCTCTAACGACCCTGCAGCGCCTGGAGACGCTGAGCCTCGATCTCTGCAAAAAAATTTCTCCTGCTGCCATTATTGCTTTGTGCCAAGCGCTACCCCAGCTGAGGAACCTCAAATTAAGGGGGGCTCGCTCTGAAGATGGATTAATAAATAAAATTCAGGCGAGTTTGCCCCGCTGTAGCCTTTCCCACGCTTCCTGACGCAGAGCCCGAAGCAGCAGGGCTTTTCCTCTTCATTTTTCCGCCCCCTTTTTTTCGGGGGGTAAAACCGTTTTTTCCCCAAGCTGCCGTACATATTTTTAGGACAGAATTTTTGTCAGGGCTAAAACCACCGTGTCAGATGGTTTATTGGGAATTCCAGTTTGGTAGGATCCCCCCTTTTCCATGGATCAGGGGAATCGGAAAGCCGGGAAGTACCCAGCCTTTGGGAATTCCCCCCGCTGAGCTGCCCAAAACTTCACCGAATTTAACCTCCGGCCGCTCCTCAACCTGCGCCGCTTAACGGGTGTTAAAATTCACGGAGCAAAGCGAGGCGCCCTCCTACCAAAAAAAAAAAAAATCCCTCAGCGCAAATCTCAGACTTCCAGTTAATATCTAACTCCGAGATTGCTTAACCGCCCCACACGGTCACTCCGAACTCTGCTGGAGGAGAAATACGGCATCAACACGCGCCAGAGCCGCTGTTTTCTTGCTGGATCTCCAGTTATCCGCCCGGGCAACGATTGTTTTCGAGCCCGAGGTCATCAAGCCAGCCAAAGATGTTTTAAAATTAAGTCTTGTATTTATTTAATAAAGTTATTTTATGCTTTCTCACGCTGCAGTGTTTTAACTGAATTAATCTTTGTTAGAATAAAGACGTCGGGCAGCGTCCTGCGGTGGTATCGGCTGAAAAAGGGCCAGGCTCTGGGCTAGGTGTTTCTCAAAGGCGCAGGAGACCCTCGGGGAAATTCATCTCCTGTTTTATTCACCCCTCGAGTCCGAGCGAACCTTTTCCCTTCCAGCAGGGAACGACAAAGAGCTCCAACGCCCAAATCCTCAATCTTAACCCCCCAATCTCCTCCTGGAGAGATTCTCCGACATTTTTCACGTCCCTGAGCCGGACTGAGGGGGACGTGAGCTGATATTTCCCAGATTTTTTTATTTTTGGGGTTTTTTTTTCTCTTTTAGGACAAGAGCATCCTCCTAGGGAGGATTCACGTCTCGGTTGAGCTTTTCCTGAGCTCTGCCCCGCCGTAGAGCCGGTTTTATCCCCCCACCCTCCGCTCAGCCGCAGATTACGCAACAACCTCCGGGTTTTCAGCCAGCCCTGGGTGGCAGTGACCCCCCTCTGACGAAATCCTCCTCGTTCTACATCTCGTTAACGGCTGGTCTTTGTGCCCTGGCCTCAATTTTGTTCCTATCCACGAGCTTGGTGGAGCTTTGGAGCAAATAAACGCGGGTGAAATGCCCCAAAGCTCTGCTTTGGAAAACATCCCAAGGCTGGCAGCATAATAACTCCGGCTGTGTGTTTATCGCCGGGCTCGGAGATAATTAACGTTATTAAAACTTCCAGCGCTATCTGTCTCAGCGCTCGGGGGGGGAAAAAAAAACCACCAACAAAAAAAACCCAAAACAACCAGCAAAAGGGGGAAATGAAAACCGGTCGAAATCCATCAGTCAGTCAAGGCGCAGCTCGATGCAACGAGGAGCTGAACCTTCTCTTGATGCTCGCGAGCCCCATGGCACAGCGCTCATTTAATATCCCACGGTCCCTCCTCGCCCATTTTGCTTCTAATTTCCAAACTGGGGAATTTTCACTCTGGTTTATTTCCATTTCATCTTTTACCGTCGCTGGCACATCCATACAGATGCTTTATCACCCCCAGATCCATTTTATTTTCTTATTTTTTTTGCGTCTTCCGCTTGGATTTCCAAACCAAAGAGCGTTTCTAGACTCACTTAGAGGA